GCTTTGCACTCTTCCTTGGCTGCTCTGGATGTGCCACCACTGCTCTCTGGGACGTGCTTGAAGACTTCTGTGCAGCATGGCCAGCATGCCACTTGGGTTTGGCACCAACTTCACCATCACCCTTCCCCTTGTTTCCAGGAACATCCTTCTTGTTCCTGTCGACCTGGAGACAAGAAGTGAACCTCAGGTCAGTCCTGCCCCAGCCCTGCCAGCCCAGGGGTGACAAAGCACTTGTCAACAGAACAGGAACACAAGAGGCTGCAGACCCTGCTCGGGGTCAGGAACTCACAACCCTCATTTGGGGACCCTGTTTGGCCCAGACTCCCTTCAAGCACAAAACACAAAACCAGACTCAAAAGATTTCTACTTACATGCTGCAGTTTAGACACTGGTTCTAAGGGAGGATTCAGGTGATTTGTCTGGTCCTTTAAAAAGGGTCTGTAGGAAGTCAAACAAATATCAGGCATTTAACAACTATGGCACAAAAACGCTGATGTCTCAGTCACAGGAGCTAGAAGCAGCTTTTGGAAACCAAAGAGCTATCAAGGAAGTACCATATTGTACCCAAAAAGCAGCACAAACCAGTCCTGCATCCACCTCTGGAGGCCTCAGTACAGGAAAGACATGGACCTGTTGGAGAGAGTCCAGACAAGGGCCACAAAAACGATCAGAAGGATGGAGCATCTCTCCTGTGAGGAAAGGCTGAGAAAATTGGGATTGTTCAGTCTGGAGAAGGCTCCAGGGAGATGTTAATGCAGCCTCTCAGCTCTTAAAAGAGGGCTTATAAGAAAGATAGGAAGAGACTTTTCAGCAGGGCCTGTTGTAACCAGACAAGGGGTGATGGGTTTAAACTAAAAGAGGGAAGATTCAGACTGGATGTGAGAAAGAAATTCTGTACGGTGAGGGTGGTAAAACACTGGCACAGGTTGCCCAGAGAGGTGGTGGATGCCCCATCCTGTATGTGGCTCTGGGCAACCTGATCTAGATGAAGCGCCTGCTCATTGCAGGGGTTGGACTAGATGACTTTTGAAGGTCCCCTCCAACCCAAACTATTCCATGATTCTATGACTGACACCCAAGGTTGCCACAAAACTTCTGGCTTTCACTGACAACACAAGCAAGCGCAACAGCTCCTGCAGGCAGTGGGCCTGCAGGTTTGGAGGCTCCCGCTGCTGCTGTCACACACTGCAGGTCACAGCAGCGCCCCAGAGTTTAGTGTGTTGCAGCGAGCTGCAGCCCCACAGCTGCCCAGGCACTGGGAGCAGAGCAGGGAGGTGGGAGAGCAGTGCTGGCTGTCAGCTCCCCTCATCATCCTCCCTGAAATGCAGCCAGTGGTGTGGTTCTCCCACCCCTTGCTCCGGGGCCTGCAGCTCAGCCATTAGTGAAGATTAATGCCTGTGCAGATTTTTTTCTGTAATGAAAGAGCCCGGAGAGTTAGATGATTGTCCTCTATGCAAGTGGTATACTAAGCCAGAATGAAAGATCATGAATCTTCTCTGCAAATTTCTGTTATATTAGTGGTGTTTTCCAGAGCCCTGGTACCAGGGACTGTTTTGCTCTTTCTGGTCTCGGATCCCACTTCCCTTTATCTTCTCCCCCACTGAGAAGGTTTACAGCTTCCCCTGCACTACAATGCCATGAGGAATACTCACTGCAACAGGGAGTCTCTCAAGTGTTCAGGTTTGCCAAGCTCAGCAGGAAGGTGCCTCGCTGCCCTCACACAGGCTGGTTCCAGAAGAACCAAGCAGGGCAGAGCCAGGTGACTCCCTGAACACATGCTTGAGACTTTCTAAAAGCACTGAAAATGCCCCTTCCTAATGAAAGGGTCATTAAAAAGCAGCAGAGAGACATGAACCACCCTTTATTCAAGACCCAGCTACGAAGCTGAGCTGTTGGCACAAAGACTGATGCTGCCAGACCCAAGCACTGGCATGAGAAAGTTTCACAGAGGCTCAGAAAATACCCGGAAAGGACAATATCCACCACCAGGAAATGACAGCATCCATCAACACTCAAACCATCCCTTTGCCTCTGCTGCCAGTAACTCCACAGAGCGCTGCTGGATGCCATGGGACCGTCCCAGGCGCTGATCTGGCAGCGAGGCACAGGCAGGAGGCGGTCTTTGTACAGCAGTGAATCACTACAGGGAGAAGGCAGACCCTAGCAAGGCAGGAAAAAAAAACATCTAAACCTCAGAATCACGAAGTGCTTTCTGCTGGAAAGGACCTTTACAGAACACCTCATCCAAACCCAACGTCCTCCTGACTTACTTTGCGCTCGGGCATTTTGGCTTTCCTCTGGCTGCAACATAGTCCTGGAGCCGTCTCCTCTGCTCTTCTGCAAAGAGATGGTAGGAAATGCAGCGCACGCACAACAACCTCAGTGCTGGATCAGAATAAATGTGTTTTACACTCACAGCATTACTGTACTGCTCCCCACCTGAGCCTGGCGATGCTGCTTCCAGCACTCAGTGTTGCCCAAAGGCTCACTGGGACATGACCAGAGCTCTCCAGCCCTCACAGCGTGATGCTTAAAACCTCAGTTGTGCGAGGCTTGGGCAACTTCCAAAAGGAAAGGGAAGATGCTACCAGTGGCCCTGCTTCAGCTGCACATCCCATAAGCCTGTACCTGCTGTGGCCAAGCCCCCTGCTAGCGCACGCTGGTGGGAAGCAAAAGGGTCTCAGTGTGTGTGTGTGGGGGGGTGACAGGGGATACCTCTGACACCTCCGGCCTGGCTGCAGTACCGCCTGGCCTGGTTGAGGTCCAGCACTGGCCCATCCCCAGGGCCTTGCCCCTGACCCTGGGGCTGTGCAACGCTCATCTGACGGACAGAGCCTCTGCCCCCCAAGGCTTCCACAGAGCGACCCCTCTGCACCCCACTGGGCCACCCAAGCCTCGGGACAGCCCCAGCCCAGGGCCAGTCGCGATGGCCCGAACCACCCCGCCCCTACCGCACGGAGCCCCGAGGCCGCCTCACACCAGCCCAGCCCCAGCCCCAGCCCATGCCCCCCGCCACCCGCCACCTCCCACCGCTCCGGCCCCACCACGACCGCCGAGCCGCTCACCCGGAGGAACCGTCCCAACCCGCTCCATGATAAACAGCCGCCACCAACCGTCGCGCGGCACTTATTGGAGAACGCCTTCTTCAAACCGACCAATGGAGAGAGCGAAACCGCCGGCTCCGGGCGGGGTCGGCGGGCGAGCGGAGTTGTGATTGGCTAACGGCGGGCAGGGGGGCGGTGACAACGCAGCGGGCGGAGCAAGGCCATGGGCGGGGCCTGAAGCGAGGGAAGCTCATTGGCTGCTGCCACGTCCATTAGACCTGGTTTCCACCAATCATGGTGCGCGGGGCGGGACGTGCTGAAGGCAGGTCCTGGTCGCGTCATGCCGTTGCCATGGCACGCCGTGCCTGACCGTGCCGTGCCCGACCGTGCCCCAGCACCTCCCACCTTGAATGCCGGAGCATTCCACACTACACCATGCCATGGAATGACATGCTAGGCCATGTCATGCCACATCATGCTGTGCCATGCCTTCTTGTGCCAAGTCATGCCACATCATGCTATGCCATGCCTCCTCGCGCCATGTCATGTTATGCCAGACTATATTGTTATTAAACTCCGGGAAATAAACTCTCCAACCAGAACTGCAGAATCAATGGGGTTGGAAAAGACCTTCAAGATTATCAGCTCCAACCGTTCCCAGCACTGCCAAGGCCACCACTGACCCATGGCACTGAGGGTGTGTGAACACTTGCAGGGACGGTGACTGCAGCCCTGCCCTGGGCAGCCTGTTCCAATGCCTGAGCACCCTCTGGGGCAGGAATTGTTCCTCAGCTCCATCTAAACCTGCCCTGGGGCAGCTTGAGGCCGTTTCCTCTTGTCCCATCCCTTGTTCCTTGGGAGCAGAGCCCAGCCCCTCCTGGCTCCATCCTCCTGTCAGGCAGTTGTAGGGAGCAACCAGGTCCCCTCTGAGCCTTCTCTTCTCCATCTGACCCCCCCAGGTCCCTCAGCCCTTCCCCATCACCCCTGTGCTCCAGGCCCTGCTCCAGCCCCATTGCCCTTCTCTGGCCCAGCTCCAGCCCCTCAATGTCTCGTAGTGAGGGTCCCAGAGCTGAACACAGGATTCGAGGTGCAGCCTCACCAGTGCCCAGTGCAGGGGCACAACCACTACCCTGGCCCTGCTGCCGCACTGGTGCTGATCCAGGCCAGGATGCTGGGGACTTCTTGGCTGCCTGGGCACAAGGTGCTCGTGATCAGCTCCATCGATCAGCACCCCCAGGTCCTTTTCTATGAGCAGCTTTCCAGCCACTCTGCCCCAGTGAACGACAGGGTAGAAAACAACATGACTTTATTGCAGCACCGGGTGCTGGAGGATTTCTCTGCCTGTCTCACACACCCAGAAGAGACAGTTCACAGCTTATGTACCTTTATTATATATGTACTTCTTATAATGCCCTGAAATGTCCACCCAATTCCCATTCCTCAAGTTAATGAGAATGTGGGCAGACAAGGCCATGGCACAGGCACTGTGAATTTGAGGAGTGGCCCCTGGAGGTCATGGAATCCTTGCCTCTATATGCAGTGAATTACTAATTTAATTCAGTATCACTTCCACAAGAGGCTTTAACATGGCAGGCCACACTATGCCACAGCATACTACAGGATGCCATGCAATGCTACACCATGTCACACCATGCTATGCCAGGCCATGCAGTGCCACACCACATCACACCATGCTATGCCAGGCCATATCAAAGCAGGACATGCCATGCCACACCACGTCCTGCAGTGCCGCAGCTGCAGTGGGAAACCCATCCAGCCACCCCCCGGCTGCAGGAAGATCCTGCTGGTGCCAGCCAAGCCCGCATGCTGTGGGGTGACGCCCACCCCCTAGGCATTGCACCCAGGCCTGGAGAGCCCAGAAAGCAGCTGAAACTGCAGGGTTTCTCCATCCATACACCACTCCCCACATGATTTCACCCCTGTGAGACATCAGTATGAGAAACCTTTTATTTCCACCTCCATTACCAACAAATTCCAGAGAACAAAACCACAATATTTCCAATAAACTATACAATAAGTTAAAAGCAAGAAGTGTTACACAATAAATAAGAACAAAACCACTGGATATACACAATAAATAAGTACAAATGGGGGTGGGTTGGGCCAACAGGGCCCAGAGATGCTATTTCACCTGAAATAGATGTAGAGGATGGGGGGTCCCACTGGGATTTGTACTTGGTACATACGGCCTGAGAACCAGCGACTGCCAGTTGGGTTGGGTTGGGAGCGGGGGCTCCTCAGTGCCTGCTCAGCTCATAAGTGGCGATGTTGACCTGGTCAGGCTGGTTGGTGATGCTGACGGGCTGGCGGGGCTGCAGGGAGGTGCAGATGAACCAGCCAGGGAAGGCAGCCGACTCAAAGCGCGTGGTGCCCTCGGTTGGGCTGTCCAGGCGGTAGAAGATGAAGCGGGTCAGCTCCACACTCTCAATGTCCCTCCTGACGTCAGCTTCCTACAACCGAGGGGTGAAATGGGATTCAGGGTGAGGTGGAGCCCCCAGACCCATCCAAAATGGTGCCAGCAGGACCACCCCCCCGCTCACCTCGAGCTGCAGCACGGGCTCAGCACCGCTCATCACACATGACATGTAGAGTTGGTAGCCCTTGATGCCCAGTGCCACTGGCACCCGCCCAGTCCCTGGGCCACCCTGTGATGACTGAGGACGGTACAGAGCGATGTTGAGCTTCACTGCAGAAAGAAGGAATGAGTTAAAGGGTGATTGTGGAGCTGTGGGAAGGCACCTCTGTGGCCCTGGAGACATTGGGTCTGTTTGGGGATGGGGACATTGGTCAGGACTGTGTCCCCTTACCCTTCCGCCCAGCAGAGGGTCCCTGCAGGTGCAGGGCTACCAGCTGAGTGGGTGACTCCAGCACGAAGCACTTCTGGTCAATATCAAGGATGTCGAAGGACTGGGAGCGGGTGTAGCGATAGATGGGTGCTCCAGCATAGCTGCCATTAATCCGCTGGAAGGAGACAGGCTCTGTGGGGAGGGAGACAGTCAGGGGGATGCTGATGATCCCCACTGCAAGAGCATCCCCCACGTGGGTTGACACCCTGACGTCACCCCCATACCAAAAATATCATCCAGGAAGTCCCCAAGGTCACTGTCAGCAAACTCCTTGTCTGCTGGTTTGGTCACAGCTGCCACAAGGACAGCAGCCTGGCGAAAGGTCCTGGCAGGGTGTCCCTTGGTCACTGTCACCTGGATGCCCACCCCAGGCGATGCCATTTCCAAGTCCAGTTGGGGTTTCTGGGGAGGAAAGGGGATGTGGGGTGAGAGCCCAGCTTCTCCACACAGGGGTCTCACTGTTTCCACCACACCAGTGTTACCTTCTGCAGGCAGAGGCAGTCAGGGCCATAAAATGTCTCCTCATTCAGGCTAAAAGGCAAAGGGAGATGGTGAAGTCAGGGCCACCACGGCGGCATCACATGCCCCACGTCCCCTCTGGCACGGCCATGCTTACCTGCTTCTCTCCAGTATGTCCAAATCGGGGACGAATGCCATCTCCAAGGCTGATTGCAAAACCTGGGGAGAGACCTGCCGGTACCTGTTGAGTGCTGCGGCACCCGGCTTCCTGCTCCTGCTTGTGCTGCCTGTGGCGTCGCTTGAGTGCTCTGTGAGCCTGATGTTGGTGTGGTGGGTTTTCAAGAGTCTCCGAAGGAAGTGCCGTCAGAGCGGGCTTTCCACCTTTCGCAATGCCTGGGTTTGCCCAGTTCCTCCAGAGAGACTGAGAGGTTCGGGGGGTGCCCCTGAGCAGCACTGTGGGGCTGAACGTGGGGTTGTGTGCATGAAAGAATGGGGGGATGCTTTGGGGTTGGGGTATGGAGCAGAGAGCAGGGCTGATACTCTGGGGCTGGTATGTGGGGCAGAGAACGGTTTCATGTCAACGTCTGGGGCCAGTGCTTGTGTGCCAGCCCTCAGTGGCTGGGCTGACCCAGCAGGGACTGCCCCAGCACCAGCCCCGTCCCCATCCCACTGTGATGACAACCACCCTCGTCAGGGCTGGAACTGCACTGCCCCGGAAGGGGCCAGTGGCGCAAGTGCTGCAGCTCCACCATTTCCCCACGGCTGCCTCCTACGCTGCCTTGGCCCACAGCACCAGCTGGGCTCTCCCCATCGCCCCTCCTGTCCACACCACCCCCATACCAGGACCATGCTGACCCCTTGGGCCCTTGGGCCCACCTGTACTACATGGAGGCCACGGCCTTTGTGGGCAGCGTGACTTTGAGGACACTCCTTGCCACCGCCTGGCAGCGCTCCCTGCTCTGCCACACACCCAGGCAGGGTGCTGGTGATTGCGCCACGCTGGATGTGCGTGGCTGGGCTTGCATGGCTGCGGGCTCTCGGTGTTTTCCTGGGACCTGTTTCACTTCCCCAACGTGCTGTCTGCACCCTGAGCTTCCAGGCAGATCAGGCTGGTGCTGCTGTGACGCACCCTGTAGGAAATGGCCAGCAAGGCCAGAACTCCCCAGGAGGCCCTGCTCCCAACCCAACTCTCTCACGCTGTGGGTACCGAGTACAACCCCTGTGCTTTCCCTCGCACATTGAAGTAGAAACAAGAAGCAGGTCAGAAAGCCGAGCAGACCAGGGCACACACAGAGGCTTCAGGATGAGTGCCTCCTGCACCGCCCTGCCTGTGCCCCTCTCTGCTGAGGCCTGCTGGCTGTCACTGTGCTGGGGTGCCCCAGCAGGCCAGAGCTCCCCTGGGCCATGCTGGGGTCCCACATGCTGTGGTGGGGGTTCCCAGCCTGTCTTGAGGTCCCCAGGCCAAACTGAGGGTCCCTGGGCTGGCCTGAGGTGCCCAGGTCATACCGAGGGTTTCTGGTCTGCACTGGGGTCCCCAGGTCATAGCAGGGCTCCCAGGCTGCACTGGCCTCCTCAGGCCATACTGAGGTCCACAGGCCGGACCAGCGCCCACAGGCTGTACTGGAGACCCCAGCCCATAGTGGAGTCTAGTGGCCGGACCAGGGCTCACAGGCCGTACTGGGGTCTCCAGGCTGTAGAGGGGCCCACAGGCCATACCGGGGTCCTCAAGCCATACCGGGATCTACAGGCCGGAGCGGGGCGCGAGGCCTGCGCCGGTAACTATGGCAACGGCGCCTCAACGGCTGCACAGGCCCCGCCCCGCCCTGCCCGCGGAGGCGGCTGCGCATGCGCCACCGGGTGGCCCTGCGGGGGCGTGGCGAAGGACGAAGTGGGGCGTGGCGACGCGGTGACGCAGAGCGCGGGGCGGGGCGGCGCGGGGCGGCAGCGGGCGGTTGAGGCCGCTGTCAGAGCCGGGGCCGCGGGCGGGGCGGACGGGTGTGCCGGTGAGGAGCGCGGCCGGGCCGGGCGGCGGGGCAGGACCGGGGCGCACCGGGGCGGGGCGGAGGCTGGGGCAGGACGGGAGCGGGGAGAGAGGCGGTGGGCGCGCGGGAGGGGGACGCGGCCGCCCCCCCCCCCGTGTCCTTGGTGCCGCCGCCCGGGCGCCGTGGGGCGTGGGGGGGGGGAGGGGGTTGTGGTTGGGAGGGGGGGGGGGCGGGATTGCCGCTAGATGGGCAGCCCGGGTGGCCAATGAGAAGGCGGCTCGGCCCTTCGCGCCGCTCCTATAGGGCGTGAGGGACGCGAAGCCCGGGTAGCGGTGTCGGGCGCTGATTGGTGGGCGCTGATTGGGGGCAGGTCTGGCGAGCGCGCGCTCGTGTGCGTGTGTATGCGCGCACGGTGGCGGGTCCCGCGGCCCCTTCCCTCGCCCCCACGTGCGGCCCCCCCCCGGAGCTCGGGCTCGGGGCGCTCCGGCTGCGGGCACCGGGAGGGGAGCTACCGCTTCCCGTAGCGCTGGATTCGGTCTCGGTTTAACCCCCCCCCCATAAAGGCGCTGCTGGGGGCTGGTATGGGGGGTTGCGGCCGCAGGAGGTCCAGTTTGGTGCCTTAACCTGCTCGAATGGCTCTTGCCTATCCGAGCCGCTAACCTGTGCTGAACGTCCCTGTTTGACCTCTCGGTGAAGTGTGGGCTGTGGTCCGGCTGCTGCTGTTGGGGCCCCGGGCTTCCTCTCCTCACCCCCTTTCAGCTACAGCTCCTGGCATTGGCTTCGTACTCCCATGTGACCCCCGTCTCCGTTATCTCAGACTCAGTTTCCTGTGTCCTTGCTCTTGGTGCACCAAGATTGACCTCAGAAATATCCCTTCTCTGAGCTTGCCCTGGTTTGCGGCATGGGCTCCTGCACCTTGGGATGCCAAAGTTCCTGTGAGAGCCCTCAAAGCCTGGCTGGTTCTGTGCATTTTGGGCCAAACCCTGGCATTATCCCCTCCTGTTTTCCAGAGAGGTCACCCGGACACTGCTGAGCCGCAGCACTGAAACTGGACACCAAAGCTGGAGCCACCGCCGGCGTTTTCATCTTAAAGCTTTCGTGCCTGTGCGCTGGCACCCAGTTTGGTTGGCTCTGTAAAATACCTGCGTGTGGTTTCCAGTTTAATCTGAGGAGGGAAAGGTGGGAAAACATCTATATTGCCACACTTGCTGTCCCGCACCAGCCGTCTGTTTCCTGCCTGTTATGGTTCTGGTTTGACTGTGGGCAGGAGCGGGCAGGCTGGGTGGAAAGCACAAGTGCTCTTCCCTTTTTCCTTTGGGTAAATCTATAAAGCACTTTGGGTGAATTAGAGTGATGCCAGGTCTTCCTCTGGCTCTTTGGACCAAACTCTTGTGTTTTGAGGCTAGAGGTGTAGCTGCTGCTATGCTGAGTAGCCAGAATTAACTTCTGCAAGACAGATCTGGCAGCCTGGCTAATGGAACACTGCTCATGAAGGTGTGTTTTATTTCTCCAGTTTGCTGCGAAACTTCACTTTAATCTGGTGAATGCACGATGGCTGCATTGACATTGGGCTGCTGCTCATTAAACTGGTTGGGGATATGAAAACCGGCCAGTTGGGTCACCTCCAGCTCAGGTCCTGCCTCTTATGGGAGGAGCTGGGTGGAAAGGGCAGCTCCAAGAAGAGTTGACTCCAAGTGCCCGTGCTTCCCCCAAGATGATTTTGCTCTAGCAGTTTCCCTTGGGCTGTGGCTGTTGGTTGGATGTGTGTAATGAGGAGCATGGCTGACCCACACCAAGAGCTGCATGGTGGACTTTGCTGGGGGACCCTTGAGAGGTTTCATGCTGACTCCAGGTTGCTTTTCTGGGTTCTCTGAGCAAGGAGAGCCCCTTTATGGGTCTTTTAACTGTGTTGGCCTTCTTGGGTCTGAGCTTTTAAGGAGAAGCGATGAAGTGCTCTGTCCTGGACCCCCAGCCCAAGTGCTTTGCACCACTGTACCTCTATTTTGCAAGGGGTCTTCCCTGTAGACTGTTTTTTCCCAGCTTTATCATGTTGCATGTAACACAAACTGTTGGGAAGAAAGCCTTGGCCAAGCAGAGTGGTTGTGGTGTGAGGAATGTGGCAAAAGTCAAAGCCAAGACCTGCTGAGGAGAGAGGAGAGTGGAAGAAGCTTCCATGCTGTGTCTGCGTGGTGAGGGCTGGCCTCGAGGAGCACACCCCACTAGACCCAGTCAGCTTGGTGGGAAGAGAAATGTGCCATTCAGCCTTAAAATCCAGCTGGTGACAAGAGTTTTCAGCACAGTGCTTTCAAGTGCTTATCTTTGAACTTGTCTGACGTCCCTGCAAGTGGGAGTTTGAGGGGCCAAAGTGTCCAGCCTCTGCTGGAATCTGAGTATTGTGGAGAGGATTTTCCTGTTTAAAAAAAAAAAAAAAAAGGAAAAGAGGATTCTCAGAGGAAGAATTAAAAAAATAGAAGAAATTGAAGAATTTCTTCATCAGGGACTGTAGTGATAGTACAAGGGGGAATCACAGAGTGATTTGCGTCGGAAAGGACCTTAAGATGATCCAGATCCAACCCCCTGCCACAGGCGAGGACGCCTAACACTAGACCATGTTGTCCAAGGCTCTATCCATGCTGGCCTTGAACACTGCCAGGGATGGAGCATTTATCACTTCTCTGGGCAACCTGTGCCAGCACCTCAGCACCCTCACAGTAAAGAACTTCTTTATATCTAACCTGAACTCCCCTGGTTTCAGTTAGGCATTTGTTCCCAAATGCTTCCTTTGAAGGCCAAAAACGAAAAGCAGGGTACTTTTGATATGCTTACTGCTATGTTAATATTTGAGGATGGAAGCAGCAGATTATGACTTGGCATGCTCCTTTCCTTGCACCAAAGGCTTTGGAGCAAACACACCACCGTGCAATGCAGTCCTGTAGCCTCCACAGATCTGAGCTGAGCATCCAGACTAATGAGGGGCTGGGATTAAACAGACTGAGTGAAGACTGAGATGAGCTCTTAGGCAGAAGTTCTTCCTTGTGAGGGTGCTGAGGCGCTGGCACAGGGTGCCCAGAGAAGCTGTGGCTGCCCCATCCCTGGCAGTGCTCAAGGGCAGGTTGGACACGGGCTTGGAGCAAGCTGCTCTAGTGGAAGGTGTCTCTGCCTGCGGCAGGGGTTAGAGCTGGAGGAGCTTTAAGGTCCCTTCAACCCAAAGATTTCCCTGGTTCTATGATAATACTTTATGGATTTATCATTTGAAGAAGGGTAGCTGTTGTTGGTTAGAAACTAAAGAGGAAAGCACCAGGGGAACCTGGTAACTTTCACTGCTAATCCAGTCTGCATTGCACCATCAGGGATGCTTTATGCAGGTGCTGATGCAAAAAAGGCTTAAGTGGTTATGATGTCCAGTGGCTTGTTTGAGGCTGGTGTTGGGTTTCTGCCAAGCAAATCTGCTTTTCCCTGTTGTGCCGGGGGGTGCCAGGGCCATGCTGGCATTGATGGGGGAGCAGCACAGCTGTGCCCAGCACCTTGGCCAGAAACTGTGTTTCCCATCCCTGGAATGGGGTGGATGGGTCAATCTGAATTAAAGACTGATCCTAAGCTCCGTTCTCTGTGCTCAGGGCTGATGAGGGGTGATGAGGAGGGGTGTTGGTCTCTGCTCTGTGCTCTCCTGCCCTCATTTCTAACCCACTTTTCCCTTCTCTCCCAACAGGAGCTTGTGTGAAGCGACAGGGCAAACATGCTTAACTTAAGGACTTGTGTGGCAAAGCTGAGGCCGTTGACGGCCTCACAGACTGTAAAGACAATTTCCCAACAGAGGCTGGCAGCACCCAGGACGTTTCAACAGATCCAGTGCTACAGTGCACCGGTGGCTGCTGAGCCTTTTTTGAGTGGGACTAGTTCAA